TGTGTGTGTGTGTCTATCCCCTGCTGACAGGTGAGATAACTGAGACTCCAGCTCAAGCCCCGGGCACTTGAGCCCACTTCTCCTTCTAAGTCTAAGACCCTGTTCTTTGAGCATGGACAAGGGCCGAGGCTTCCGTGCCACCCAGAGCATCCAGGCAGGCCCCCAAAGGGGGAGGGCAGCTGAGAGTTGGGAGGCTTTGTGCTCCTCCCTGCTCAGCTGTGTGTGACCTCAGCAGTGGGGCCTTTGGGGGCTTGTGTCCCCCCAGGGCACAGATTCCTGATCTCTAAAATGCCAGGAATTCTGGAGAAGCAGTTAGACAGCCCCCTCCCCTCATTCACCACCCCCATCCCACTCCCTTCCTCGTTCTCTCCCAGTCCTTCTGATTTCAGTGAAGAAGGTCTCCACTTGGGGCAGTGGCCTACACGTCCCTCCAGCACCGAGGGCTGTGCTCACGTGGAGGGAGGGAGAGGCTGGCGCTCAGGCCTGCAGCAGACAGCTAGGTCTGCCAGAGTTTGGGGGCATCGCTTTCTTAAAGCAACAGAAAAAACGAACCCCATAGATACACACACACATGCATATGTATAGACACATATAGCATGTTATATGTAACTTCACGTACAATCATAAATATATGAGAGGGTGTCAAAGGGTTTGTGGAGAAATGGGATTAAAGGATAATGGGATTTTCCCATGACCTTCTTGAAACCCCTCCCCCCTTTGCATCTACGATGACGTTTTCTGATTACTGTATTTGCTTCCTGTTTGTGACACCTGATTGTGGTTGCGCATTCACGGGGGTGATGGTGAGGTTTCTCTTGAGTCTGTGCGTGGGGGGGGCGGGGGGGCAGCCGAGTCACAGTGACGTCTGGCCAGTAGCACACACAGGCAGTTTGTGGATGGGGCTGCGTGAGCCTTTGGAAACCCCAGTCGGGTCCAAGTCCCAGCTTGTCATGATGGGGCAGCAGGGGCTGAGGGCCCGGGAGCTGCCTGGAGCCAGGCGCAATGAGCGGTACAGCTCCCTCCCAGGCTGCTGTCTCATGCTCTCTGCCCTCGGGCCACATGCCAACCCTCTCCCGTCCACAGCACCAGCGCGCCCACGATGACCCCGTGGCCCTGAAGTACACCTTCCATGAAGTCATCACCGCAAAGTCTGATGCGTCCCCAAAGCTGCATGCCCTCCAGAACCGCTGTCTGGTGCCTGGCTGGTATGCCACCCACATCGAGCGCTGGCTCGGCGCCTTTCATGCCAACCAGGTACCTACCTGCCCCTGCCCCTTGGGAGGGCGCTGTGGATCTGGCTTACGTGGGCTAGTGGGGAGATCCAGGAGCTGAAGGACAGTCGGAGTTGTAGGAGGAAAATCTTGGCCAAGTCTCAGCGAACGTGCTGCCTGATCACCAGGTTGCAGGTGGAAGGTGCGGGGGAGGACCAGCTACAATGAGCAGCCACTGTGCATGTGCCCTGTGGTGGCTGAGACCCCGGCGCTCAAGCCCCAGGTCCACGCTTGCCCCAGGGGTCTCACCCTGGGCTCGCAGCTTCTTCGAGTCTCCATCAGGGGCCCAGAGTGCCACCCTCTGTGGGTTAGACCCCCTGGAGTCCTCAGGCCATTACGTTAGCCCAGTGCACTCTACAGCTGGTATGTGAGACCCCTTGGGCACTTGCCCGTTCCAGCAGGCTCTGCAGGGGGCACAGGGGTCCCTGCTGCACAGCTGGAGGAGGCGGGCTGGACTGAGCATGGCAGACGAGGCCACACTGGGTGTGTGCGCAGGGTGGCATGTAGTCCGGGAGCTTGGAGAAAGGCCAAAGGATAAAGGGGGAGGGCGGAGGCAGGGCTGCAATAGGATTTTGAAGGGCACCAGGGGTTTTGGTAATATGCTCTAAGAGGATGACATTCATCTGGGGAGAGTTGGCAGAGAACAGGGAGTTAAACAAGAAGAAAGCTGAGGCTTAGGGACACCTGCCGTCCAGAGGTGTGTGGGGGTGGTGGTGGTGTGGGGGGTGAAGGAAGATCCGAGAACGCGGTGTCGCAGTGTCAGGTCTGCGGCATCCTTGGTCCCTGCTGCCGTGGCTGCCAACTCGGGCCATCCTCCCCCTCCCGTCTTCCCAGATCCTGGTGATGGACGGCAAACTGCTTCGGACAGAGCCTGCCAAAGTCATGGACACCGTGCAGAAGTTCCTCGGGGTGGCCAACACCATCGACTACCACAAAACCCTGGCGTGAGTGCTGCCGTGGTCTCTCGGGGTGCAGCCCTCTGGGGGAGCGTCTGGGCCCAGAGACACAGGCTGACTGGGGCGGCAGGCTAGCGGGGAAGCTGAGCTCATCCCGAGTCATATCCATAGAGGCATGGATTCAAGGGGGAGGGAGGTGAAGGCTCCATCCAGCACGCTCCTGGGACGTCTGCTTAAGCTACACAAGTCAGACCAGCAGCGAGCAGTCACAGTCCCCACAAGGAACCCTAATGTCCGGTGACCGTGTGAAGTGCAATTTCGGGAAAAGGGGAACTCAGGAAGTTATTGTTAACAATTAAACATTCCTGCTGTCAGAGCCCAGGGCCAGTGCGGGGAGCAGCCTCTTCCCTGGATGAGTGGTTGCCAGCCTGTGTTGCAAGGGTCAGGGCGGCCTCCTAGTGCCAGCCACAGCAGACAGTGCGGGGGGAGGGGTCAAGTCACCCCTGCCGGCACAGTTCTTGGGGAAGTCTTTGGGTCAGCAGCCCCCCACCCCCATCCCAGTTTATTGGAAATTGAAGGGAAGGCCACAGCTAGGAGTGCAGGTGTGCCCCCCTCCCAGGTCTCTTAGCGTCCTCAGCCGTGTCCCCCACGGACAAGTCTCTCAGCCTCCTCGAGCCTCGCTGAAAAACACACACAAAACTGACTTCTTAGTGTGAGCTAGGCAGAGGCTTCCAGAGCAGGTCGTAGTTTGACGCTCAGCAATTCCTCCACCGTCCGCCTCGGCTCACCAGCGCCGCCCCTCAATAAGCCATCACGGACCCCACTTCCCCCCATTCCTCCTCCTTTCCAGACCCTCTGTTCTTGGGCCCATGCTGCCCCTTTGATCTTACATGGTCGGCCATTCTCAGGCAGAAGTGAGTTCGGCTGCAGACCGCAGGTGACCAAGGACCATAGGCGCTGGGGTCTCACCAGTGACCGCCTGACCAAGAAACCTGGCTTCTTCTCGTGGTTTTGAGTTTTCCTCCCACTCTCTCCGGAACCCCGAATGTCACCCTCTGAGAGCACTTGGTAGTGTAGTTGGGCGCCGTCTAGTTGTGACTGATGTTGGTGTGGCCCATCTGGCCACTATCGAGCCCCAGGCTCCTCAGCTGTCCACTAGGGATAAAGACAATGAGGGCCGCTGGAGTGTGTGTACTGGGGGCTCTGTAGTAAACGGCAGCCAGTGGGCTCAGCCCCAACAGTCAGCGTGTCAGTTACTGTGAGTTGGAACTGACTTGATGTCCCCCAACACCATCCACAGCCACCCTGTGCTCCATGCAGATCCCTACCCCACTCCCAGGCTGTTTGCTCCTAGCTCTGAACTCCTATCAATGCACTTCCACTCCCCATGGCAGCTTCAGACGTCTCTGAAGACCCAGCGCGTGACGTCAGAGCAGAAGGCTCGTTGGCTCCGTCCTTTCTGAGAAGCCCTCCGTAGGAGGGACAGTGAGGGGCTGCCTCAAGCACTTGCAAAGGTGGCCTTCCCCGATCAAGACATAATGGATGAAACCCCCAAAGGACTTTAATAGGCCTAGCCACCACCGAGTTAGAGAACTCCCAGAGGAGGCTGGGAAAGCGGTTCATGCTACGGTTTACCGAGGGAGAGAAGAAGCAGGCCAGGGCCAGAGGAGAAATTTCACCCCCGGGGGTGCAAGCGTACATGCGTGTGTGCGTGCGCAGTGCACAGTAGAGGCCCTGGTCTCTGCCGTTTCTGGGGTCTGTGGACATGGTCTCAAGGTGGGAAGGGGCGGGCGAGGCCAGCTCCCCTCCGCATCCACACGCTTTCCCCACCTGCCTCACAGGTTTGATCCAAAGAAAGGGTTTTGGTGCCAACTGCTGGAAGGAGGAAAGACCAAGTGTCTGGGCAAAAGCAAGGGCCGGAAGTACCCAGAGATGGACTTGGACGTAAGTGCTGGGCACGCCTCGGCCTGATGGCCAGCATGGGCCACGGGCAGCTTTCCTCACCCCCTGTGCCCAGGCGGTTGGCAGCCTTGGCATTTCTTGGACAGGAGGAGACCCAGGCTGGGGCATGGTGGTCAGAATCAATTTATTTTCACAGATACTTATTATCTACCGGTGTGGGCCGAGGGCTGTGGCGCTCTGAGGAAGCGCCAGGGATAGCCACGATCCTGTCTTCAAGGGCTCCCTGTCTAGGAGGGAGACGACCCCCCATGCCCCCCACCCTGGAGGCAGAAGGCGCCTCGTGCAGCATCCCGGGGACTCAGCACAAGCAGGGGTCCCCAGAACTGGGAGGGTAGGAGAGGTTTCTCACAGGTGGGCAGAGGTCTCTGGAGTTGGGCTGAAGTGTACTTTGGAAGGACGGATAGGGCGCCAAGAAGAGCGGGTGGCAGGGTCGCGGGCACACCGTGCCATGCTCTCCTCTCCTCTCGGGCCCAAGTTCCTGGTGCGCTGCTCCTCTCTCCTCCCGACCACAAGGGTGCCGTCGGCCTTGTGCGCTGTGTACCGCAGCGCGTCTGCCGGCGCCCCTGTGGGAAGATGGTGCATAAGTCCACCGTGTGTGGGGTCAGCCCTGAGTGCCCCTTCCCCTTTGTTCCAGTCCCGAGCCTTCCTGAAGGAGTATTACCGGGACCACAACATTGAGCTCTCCAAGCTGCTGTACAAGATGGGCCAGACGCTGCCCACCTGGCTGCGGGAGGACCTCCAGAACAGCAGGTAGCCGCGGCCACCACCACTAGACTGAACACTTGCGACGGCGGGGACATCCTGCCTCACGCTGAGCCAGACTGACCTGCCGTGGGAGCGGGGCCGAGGCCAGCCAAGCACTTAGGAGCAATACTCTGCCGAGGCCACACAGCACCCAGAGAAGAGCCCAGGCGGGCCGCCCGCGTGGGGCTCCGAGCATCCGCTGCTGGGCTGCGGTCTGTGGACCTCCCCAAACACCAGAGGTCAATTCCGTTCACAGGTTCTCTGTGGAGAGACCGCTTCCTGGTAGGAGGGATTCTGAGACTCTGGTCTTGTCCCCTCACTGTGTCCTCCCCACCTTGTCCATCTCCTCCATCCCACCACCCACCTCAGCAGGGTGTCCCCGCCACATCCCCTGTCCTCCACACAGGAGGGGAGAAGAGCCCAGCAGGGTCTTTGCCAAGCCAGGGGGAGGGGCCGGACGCCCCCGCCTGCTCAGAGGCTCAGCTGTCCGTCACACCAGGTCCCCTGGAGCGGGCTCTGGACTCCCACACGTGTTCTGGTTGGAACCTGTCACCGCTCAGCTCCCCTTGTCAGGGTTAGGATCTCTGGTTCCTGCCATATGCACCCGGTCCTCAAGGTCTCCCTCGGGCCCTGGGGCCCTGCCATGCCGTTGGACCCCGGAGAGAGACTGAGGCCCCAGCCCACTCCCTTTCTGCACCCTGGGCTCTGACGCGCTTGGTGTTTCCTGTGGTAAAGACTGGGGTGGTGCAGGGCCGGCCAGGACACACGTTCCCGTGTACATGCAGGGTCCTGTGCCCGCCAGCCTCAGTCCCCGGCAGACCCTGGGCAAAACTGGCTAGACTGCCGCCCACTGCGCCGCCCGAGCTTCCTGTGGCGAGGGTGCCCAGAGACCCCGTTAACCTCCCAGATACTAAGAAGCTAAAGTATTTTAATATTTTTGTTTTTGTTTTTTTTCTTGATGCCAGAGTTTATACCCTGGGTGCTGGGGTCGCACTGTGTTTATATATATATATATATATATATATATATATATATAATGTGTATATATATATATTCTATTTTTTTTTTTGGTTGGATTGTTTTTAATTCAGTCATAAAAATGGTGGCAAGTCCCCCCACTCCAAAGGGTGTCATAGCTCGGTGGTCGAGGCTGAGCTGGAAGGAGAAAGGTGTTTCTTCCCGTGGCTGGGACCCCAGGGAGGCTGGAGGAGCCTGGAGCAGCTCTGTCCCCTCTCCCTAGCGTCCTGGGGCACCCCGGGTGGACAGAGGTGGGAGACGTGCAGGGAAGAAGGACGCAAATGACCCTCGGGGAGCTCTGGCCAAAGGGAACAGCTGGGGCTGGTGCCGGCCGCCCCACCACCCCTCACATGGTGCTAGGTTGGGAGCTGCCCTGGGAACTGGCACGCCCACTGGGGCCCTCAGAACGGCCCCCAGCCCCTCGCAGACAGTGGGTCTCTGGCTGGGCCTGCTCCTACCACCCCCTTCTTTTAACAAATGTGAAGTGACTGAGGCCGGGGCGGGGGGTGGGGGGTGCGGAAAGGTGCCCCTCCCCGCTTGCGCCAACTGCCAACTCACCTGTGAACTGGCACCCCAGAAACTCTCTGGAGAACTTTGTCCTGGTCACAAGACTAGACGGGTTAGCTCTGGACGGATCCTTGGAAGGTGTGGGAATAGATCCGGAAAGGGGAGGTGGCCCCGTCTGCTGCCGCCACCGGGCTGGCTGGACCAAGACTGAGAGCAGAACTCGAAGCTCCCCACCCTGCGTCCAGAGCCCCTCTTTTGATGCCCGCTTGGGGCCAGGTCCCTGCCCTCTCTCAGTCAGACTGTGGATCAGGGGACAGACCACTCCTTCCCAGCAGGGTGCCTCTGAGCTGCTCAGCCCCAGCCTGGCAGTTGTGCCTACTTTTTACACCCCACATCTTGAAGGGCCCTGGCTCTGGCTCAGTTCTGGCCCAGTTCCCCTTATTCCAGGTCTGCACTGGGCTGGAGAGGGAAGTGGATCCCAGACCAGCCACGTGTGGTCTCACGTGTCCCTCATGAGGGTTCCCATCATGCTTTACCTGGGACTCTTTCAACATGGAGCCCCTGGGCTGTGAGGGGGAGGGAGCTGACTACGGTGCCGTGGGGAGCCACAGAGACATGCATGATGGGGCCCACATGGTGGGGTCAGGGCCTTTCATGGTTAGACCTGGGCCTCCCTTCCCATCTGCCATGCGGTGCCCTCCCTGCCCTGCCCCCGGGCCTGGAGACCTGCTCCAGCCAAGGGCCCAGGCTGACTGGATGGAGCGGCCACCTGGGAGGCAGCCAGTCCACCTCCCTCTGCCTCTGGCTAGAGATCCTGAGGATGCAGAAGAGAGACCTTGGATGTCCCTACAGGCCGCTTGTGGGGACATCACTGTCCCCGGTGCTCTCACTCCTAAGGCTTCCCCGAGCGCCCACATGGCCCAGACGCTGCCAGGCCCTGCAGGGATGGACACCGGACCCCCAGGGCCTCTCAGCTAATGGGCAGGGGTTCTCCCAGGAGAAGAGAGTGATCAGCGGCTGGGCTGGGGGACAGGTTAGCCGGGTAGCCCTGCGCTCCTCACCTGGTCACCAGACTGATTGACAGGAAGGGGAGAGGGAGAGATGTTGCTTAGGTGCGACAGGGCCGGTCTGCATCTCCTCCAGAAACTTTGTCCCCCACGAGCAGAGGGCAGCCCCCAGGTTCCCACAGTCTCCCGAGGGGTGGGCACAGATGCCAGTGAAGGAGCCCTCCCTGGCAGTGCCGCTGCTGGCGCTCCGTTGCTACCCACCACGCAGCCCAGTAACCCCCACGACAGCTCTACTCTGCCTACCCTGTCACATGGGGTCGCTGCAAGTACGTCTGTCTGTCCCTCACAGCAACTCACAGGCCTTGGGGGGGTGGGGGAGCCACCAGAGGACAAGAGGCTGGACTTGGCCAGCACCAACTGACCACCGTCAGTGAGGTATCTGCTATGCCCGGTAAGGGGTGAGAAGAGCAAGTGAGACCACGTCCCACCCTCTTGTGCTCATGAGCCCCGTTTGCCCCCCTCCATTCACAGGGGTGGCTATTTGGGCCACATTTCTTTCTGCCTCTAAAGATGCTAAATCTCTGTCTTTTCTTTTTACCCCTGAACTATTTTAAAAGTTGCAAACGTCATGAGACTCCCCCTAGATGCCTTAGCCAGGAGCTCATAAGAATTGGGAGGCGCTCCTACACATTGACCCAGTAGTCCACCCCGCCCACCCCCACCGAAAGAGCAGTCACGTGTAGCTGCTTCTGAAATCCGGACCCTCGCTGCACTCTGAACAGTGTTTCTCTCACCCGGAAAAGCAACTCCCCCAGATACACCCGATCTGGGTTTTGTAGCAGCACCTGCGGCCGGCTGTCTGGAGAATCTGTGCCCCCCCCCTTGCCCCCCAACCCCAGCTGGGTCCTGTTGGGTCTCAGTGCCGTACAGCCACCTCCTCACACCCTTGTCCCCTCTGGCCGTGTGGGTCTGTCATCAGTGCTGAATTGGCATCTTCACCCCCGCCTGAGATGTTCTCCCACTGTGCCCTGTTCCAAGTGCCAACAAACCAGCAGAGGGACTGACAGAGGGAGAGGATGCTGGGGAGTCCTTGTTCCCAAAGTGGCCATTGCTGCCGCCTGGGGGCTCTGGGAGGACGGGGCAGGTACTACCCTCTGTGCTGGGCCTTGGGCTAGAGTACAACAGTTTTTAATTACCAGGGGGCACAGTATGTTTCATTTTTCCTGAAATAGGGGTAGTGGAACAAATAAGTTTGGGGGCCCAGCTTCTAGCTGGAGGGCACCCTTGGAGGGGGGCCCTCTGCTAAGAGTGGGAGATGACAGGAGGAGCATGTGCTGCCTCTGGACCCTGGGGTGCTCCGGCCCCTGCCTCTCTTTTGTGGCCCTGGGGTTTCCACTCGCTGGTCGCCCAGGGGCTGCAGTGGGTGGGGGCCGCCTGCCCAGGCTGCACTTGGGAAAGAACACTGCAGGAGGCAGGAGCCAGGAGGGGTAGCCTGTGGGGTGGTTAGGAGCTGTGTGCAGGCTGCTCTCCTGGGGCTCCAGCGCCCCATCGACAAAAGCTAGGCTTCTCAAACACGAGAGGAAGTACCAAGGGGTACAGCATGCCCAAAGTTCTTGTGACGTGAGCTTAGGGGACCCAGAGCCTCCCCTCCCAGAGGCCCTTGGGCTTGCCCCACTGGCTCCGGTGGCCAGAGGTGGCTGTGCTCCTGTGTGAGCAGCCACGGTGCTGTGTGGAGCTAGTGCCCAGGGCCGGGGAGACCAGGGCTGCGTTTATCCCAAGGAGTTCGCCCCTCCTGCTCCCTGCCCCTCTGCTCCTGGAGGGGGAGGGGCTTTCTATGACTGTGTAGCTTTTATTATCAGCAAGAGGGCTCCTTTTGTAATTTTTGCATGAAATTCATGTCATGTCTTGGGGAGAGGAGAGGGCTCACTGGAGGGGGGGGCGGGCACATGCGGGAGCAGGCAGAGTTTTCCTTCCCACACTGGGGGGGGTGGCGGGAGGGTGGAGAGAGGGGGCACCACCCGGCTCACCTGATGAGGGCTCTCCAACCAGCCGTTTTGGGTTGTGTTAAAAGTGGGAACCTTCCTCCATTAATGTACAATCTTGAACTAACTGCTAATAAAGTGGGGTTCTGTTTGTACGCGCTGGTCCTGCCCGTCTGTCTGTCCTTTGCACAAGGGCGGGGCGGAGGGTGGAGATGGGGATGATCTCTCGAACTGCCAAAGTTTGGTCCTCCGCACGCTCTCACACACACACACGGGAGCTTGACTTGACACAGCCCCCTGGGCGGCTCAGCTGACAGCCTGGGTCTGCCGTAGGTGGGGGGCGGGCTGGGGCTCAGGCATGGCTGGCCTGAGACCAGGAGAGCAGAGTCCAGCCCGAGTTCTGCCCACCAGGGGGAAGAGTCGCTTGGTCCCCTGCTCCCACGTCTCTCAGGGCAGTGGAGAGAGTTGACGACCTCCCCCGTAACCCGTAACGCGGCTAACATGCAGATTCCTGAGATTCATCAGAGCAGGAGCGGGGCCGGGCAGCTGCATTTTCAACCAGCCTCTCCCCGTCCCCAGAGACTGCTCACTTTGGAGAACCCCACCTCAGGCTGCTCTCTATGGGCCGAGGGCCCCACTGCCCAAGGAGCTAGATCTTTGGGCCAACAAGTCACGCTCCCCTTCCAGCAGGCTTCCCGGGAGATGGTGAGCCCTGGGCCAGCAGAGGGGCCAGCTGCCTGCAATGGGCTCCTCTTGGGGAGCTTGGTAAGTACGGCCTCCAGGGCTCCCCCAGGTGGACTCTGAACCCCTGATGCAAGGGGCGGCCGAGAGCTGATTGGACAGACATCTCCCTAGGGCCCAGATGCCAGTCTGGGTGACACAGGGGACCCCCTGCACAGGCCTCAGTTTGTCAACCCCGAGTCCGACAGGACCAAGCCCGCCCGAAAGGAACTGGCCACAGTTACCAGCACAACACCTCCTTGGGAGGGCGGGGCAGAGGCCAGGAGTGCTCAGGCTGCGTTAGACTTCCATCAGGGAAGAACAGGGGTCATCTGTCTCGTCCTCAGCCGGAGGGGCCAGGGAGCAGGGCCAGGGAGCAGGTGTGGCCAGTCTCGGAAGCAGACAGGGGCGGGGGAGTATTTGTCTTTTTATTGAATCTGCTCTAACAAATTACTACAAATGTAGCAATGACACAGATTCGTTGCCTCCCACTTGTGGAGGGCAGAAATCCAAAATGGGCCTCAGTGGGTTAAGATCAAGGGTCAGCAGGGCTTTCAGGCCTTCGTCTACCTCCCACGGCCCACTGAGGGCTGCTGGGACTGGATTGGGCCCCTGGGGGACAATTCAGGACAGTCTCCCATCCCGAAGTCAGTGGACAAGCCAGTGTGATTCCAGCTGCAATTTGAATTCCCCTTTGCC